GAGGCCCCAGGGCGGGGAAAGGTTAAATGGCGACATAACAGACGCCAGAGAAGTGGTTGAGACTCTAAATTCCTATTAGGAAGAAATCAGTGGGGCTGCAGGTGACTTGGGGCGTTAGTGGAAGGAAGGGACTCCTGGCCTTGGAAGATCAGACAGGAGAAAAGGAAGGCGTGGAGATTACAGGTAGAGGTGCTGACAATATTTTTCCAAACCAAAGAGTAAATATGTGATCTGACCGAAATTTTTGTACTATCCAAGGTATGGGGGATCAGTCAGGGTGCTGGAATACTGGGGCTTGGGGAACACTTCAGTGGTTTATAGAACTTAAGTGTAAGTGAGGAGAACCTGTCCTTATGATTTGAGTCTTCGTTCGAGTGCTAGTGGCAAATCACCGAAGAGCGTTAAGCAGGGGGGTGACGTGGCCACAGTTTTATTTTAAAAGATCGTCTGGCTCCAGGGTGGAGAACAGATAGAAGGGGCAGAACACAAGGCCAGTTAGAGGCTATGGAAACAGCTTAGGAGAAGCAGTCACGTCAGCTCGGCCTCAGAGAAAGAGGAAAGTGAACAGATTTTAAAGACGTAAGAGATAAAACTGTCAGGACCCAGTGATGTATGTGTAGCTGAGGGAGAAGTATCAGGTGATATGAGGATCCTAAAATATGGCCCTGAATACTTTGAAACTCTTCTCATGAAGAAGTGAAGTTCATGTCCCTTTCCTTGAGTCTGGGTTCTGTGACTTCCTGACCAGTAGAACATGGTGGAAGTGATATTGGGTCAGTATCTGGACCTAGACCTTATGGTACTGGCAGCTTCGAGTTTCTTTCTCTTTAGATGTTTGCTCTTAGAATCCAGCTGCCGTGCCGTGAAGATGCCCAAACTTCCCCGTGGAGAGGCACATGAAAAGAGGAGCCGGAGGGCACCATCTTGGAAGTGGGGCTTCCAGCCCCAAGCAAGTCACCCCAGACAATGCTGCCCAGAGCAAGAACACACTGTCCCTCCCAAGCCCCGTACAAATTGCAGATTTGTGAGCGAAATAAATTGCTTTCTCATTTTCAGTTTCAGGGTAGTTTCTTACATAGCAGTAGAAACGCTGTAACAGATGACCCTAGGTTTCTGGCTTTCATTTGGGGATGGATGGGTGTTGTTTATGATGCAGAGATGACGGGAAAAGCCCAGGTAGGGGGGAAAGATTATGAGTTTGCTTTTCAGCTTGTGAGTTTGCAGTGCTTCTGAGACATTTAAGTTAAGAGGTCATGGGAAGCTGGATGGTTCAGTGGGTTAAGCATCTGCCTTTGACTCAGGTCATGGTCCCAGGGTCCTGGGATTGAGTCCCATGTCAGGCTCTTTGCTCACAGCGGTCTGCTTCTCCCACTTCCTGCCCGTCTCTCTCTCTCTCTCTCTCTCTCTCTCTCTCTGACAGATAAATTAAAAAAAATTTTTTTAAAGAAAAAAGCTGAGAGGTCCTGTGGGCTGGGCTGTTGGATTTGTGGGTGTGTAGCTCAGGAGGAAGGTTGGGTTTGAAGACAGAAATTGTGAGTCAGTTGGAAACGGGTATCACCTAAAGATGTGATTGTGGATGTGGATCCAGAATGAAAACAGAAGTGGGTCTTGGTGTGAGGACCTCTGACACTTCCTAGTGGGCAGAGGAGGATGAAGCTGCAAAGACCTGAAAGGTGGAGGAGAACCTGGAGAGGGTGTATCCAGGGAGCAAGACAGAAGAGTTTCAGGAGGGGGAGGGAGGGAGGGAGGGAGGGAGGGAGGTGGGGACTGGCAGGATCAAGTGCGGCCCAGGAGCACAAGCACAGGCTGAGCGAGTCACCCTCTCCCCCAGGCCTCCCAGGGACCAACATCACAGTAAGCAGGTTGGCTGGGTTCCTGGAAGCCTGCGGATGGCACTGGGGGACAAAGGCAAGGTGAAGCTCTCACCTGTGCCCACAAACCAGTTCCTCCCTGGAGCCTTGTTTCTTGAACAGCAGTCCCTAAATCAGCATCAGCCTCACTTGGGAGCTTGTTAGAAATGCGGACTCTCAGGCCCTGCCCTCCTGAATCAGTCTGCATTGTAATAAGATCCCCAGGTGACTTCTATACACATGGAAGTGTGAGAATGCTCACACTTGGGTCCCTGAGTTGAGTCACCAAATCGGGCACTGGACAGTAACTCAGGGGAGCCGCCAGATGGCGCAAAACTGAATCGGGTCACGCTCAGAGGATCCGCCGCAAACAGAGGTGACGGTTGATTACACCTACTTTCCTTCAAGTTTTAGTGTCTAACTTCAGACGTAGCCCGCCCGTCAGAATCACCTGAGGAACACCTCAGTTCGGGATCTTGGATACCTAGACCCCAGCAAAGCCTCCCCACAACCCATGGATCAAGCATCCATGGGTTTATGGAATGTCTTCAGATAGGAGAGAAAAAAATGTATTTTCTCATCTAGTATATTTTGGGATGTTGGATTCCTTTATTTCTCTGTGTAGAGCAGTGCCTTCCTCAGTTCTTCTAATTTAACCTTCAGAAAGGTTTCCTCTAGTCCCATGAGGGTGGGCCTTGTGTTTGTGTCACTGACAGTGTTTAGAATTGTCAGGCTGATTCTCAGTTGGGTTCAAAATTGTTTTTAGATTTTTCTAATATACTGCCTTTTGTTGGGGTCCCTTCCATAGGTGATATCATCTGCCTCCCCAAAGTCTGTAGAGTCCTGGGGCCTAGTGACTCATCAGCGAGGTGTCACTCTGCCTGGGACATCAGCAAAATCTAGGTTGTTACTGTGCAGGTTCAGATGGAGAAAGGAAGAAGGGCAAAGGCCCCTAGGTCCTCTGGAACCCAGCTCAAGCTCCACCTCCTCCAGGAAGCCCTCCCTCATCTCCCTACTCCTCTCTTTGCTGTGCTCTATTGAGACGGGGTGGGAAGGGCCACCCAGTCACTCTTAGGTATGACCTTTGAACACCTTCATTGTTCACTTGCACGGGGCAGTGGGTGTTTGGTCCCCAGATACTTCCATTTGGGAAATTGTCCATGTTCCCTGAGCTATCCACTGACATTGCCACCAACCCAGGCTCCCCCCTGTCCCACTGCTCCAGCCCCTTCACTGTAGCATAAGGTATGGAGGCGATGGTGGTGGGCACATGAGTCTGGACCGGGCAGCCTGGGAGGGTGGAGGGAAGGGGATGGGGGCAGAAAACACACTTGAGTCTGAACACAGGCCCAAGAACTGGTTCCCCTGAAGGAGTTCACCCCTGGGTCACTTGCCTTCTCAAAGGACGAGGGAAAATGTACTGCTCCAGGCAGTTCAGAGTTGAAGCTACTTTTCATTCTAAGCTGGGGGAGCATTTTGTTTTAGCATTTTTCCCCAGGCCAAAAGTTCACTGATTGCGGCCAAACTGCAAATACAAGGATGTATACTGGGTGGGGGGCGGAGGGAGGCATCTCCTGTAAGACTTCCAGCTGGGAAGGAAAGGATCAGAGTGTCCCTGGCCTAGTCCGGGGAGGATGGCAGTTTCCTTTCGGCCTCCCTCCCCCGGGGACTTGAAGTGTCCTTACTGCCTGGGTCCGATGGCAGAGAGCCGTGCCCTCAGGGCTACAGTCCTTTCACAATCCTCACTCCTAAAACACCTGCACAAACTAGGTGCTCAGTAACAAGGTTCACATGACGGCATGTCTGCCCCCAGTCATTTGGGTCTCTTGGTGGTGCTGGAGCCGGACTGAGCTGATGGATCTTTTCCAGGTCCACCTCTGAGACTCAGCCCAGCCCTTCCCCAGCACCTCCACCTGATGAATCAAAGGTTAGGTTTTGAGGGTGGGAGGAGTGGAGCCTACTGGGCAGACAGGCTACCTGGTTCCGGGGCTTGCTGTCGGAGCTAAAAAGCAAGCTCTAAATCAGAGCCTCCTTGCCCCTATTTCCCAGGCCTTGGGGCTCCTAACTTTCCTGGTAAAGCTCTTTCCCTCCTCTTCATTCTTACCAGATCCCTGAAGCCTTCAACAGTTTCTAAATTGCAGGTTGATGGGATTTGCTAGCTTAGCCAAATACACTGAATTAAATATACTCCTTAAATCCCCCCACCCCAGTCTCTCAACTTCCATTCTCCATTCCACTCCTCCCTACGCCCAGTACCCTTAATACCAACACACCTCTGTCTTAACCCAAGAACACTCCCGGGTCCCCCAAGACGACTTTGCTATTTCATAGCACCTGATTTGGATTTAACTATTAGAGCACCAAATGCCTGATTTCTATTTTGTAGGGCTTCCCCATCTTCCCAGTTTTCAATGACCAGAGCATCAGAAGGCCTGAAGAGCTTTGACCTTTGGAAAGGACCTTTCTAGTTCAGTTTTTGAAGGATTGGAGTCTTCTCTTGCTCTGGGAATGAGAGTAAGTTGCAGTGTCTCTGCCTTGGTTTCCCTACATATGATAAAGAAGTTATCAGTTCTACCATGGCCTTTTTCTCTAGTTTTAAGGCAATGGTTAAAATCCCAGGTAGCAAACCTGTTGTCAGATCTGGTGTCAGATCTTGTGATCTGATCTAGGATCAGAAATTACGGTCTTGAGAATTTATGAATTATTCCTTCCAGAAATGGAATGGAATTTTATTGATTAATATGCATATACAAACCATTCTGCTGGGGGTGGGGGGGGGAGACTGGTCTGCAAAGCCGAACCTGTAATTCTGCCCAGTGGGAATGTGGCCGTGTCACTGGCCACCATCCCTGGGGGGGTACTGGGAGACTGCCATTACTCAGTCCCCTTGTCTTTTTTTTTTTTAAGATTTTATTTATTTATTTGACAGACAGAGATCACAAGTAGGCAGAGAGGCAGGCAGAGGGCGGGGGGAAGCAGGCTCCCCGCTGAGCAGAGAGCCCAATGCGGGGCTCGATCCCAGGACCCTGAGATCATGACCTGAGCCGAAGGCAGAGGCTTAACCCACTTAACCCAGGCGCCCCATCAGTCCCCTTGTCATACCCCACCCCCTCACCCTCTGGGTGCTGGACATGAGAGGGGCCTACTTACCTGCACAGAGTGTCCATAGCACAGGCCGCAACTTCCCCACCATGGTCTTGCTTCCTCTGTGCCGAAGCCCAGCCTGGGAGGGATGGGCTGACTAGTTAAAGGCACAGCAGCCTCTGACCTGGCCCAGCCCTCTGTCCCTGTGGTTTCTCTTTTCCTGTTTACCTTTGCCCAGCCTGGCTCCCCTCACCGCCCTGCTCCACCGGCCTGGCAGGTGAGTTCCCCTATGGGACTGGACTCGAGCTGCCGCTACTCCACCAGAGGCCTCATGGGGAAGAGGAACCTTCCCCATCTTCACCTGCCCCCGCCCACTTTCTCCCCACCTAGCAGGTGTACAAAGTCCTAGGCTTCTCACCAAGGTGTGGGCTTCTATAACAGATAGGAAATTACCATCTCATGATATAAAGGGAATGATCTCAGAGGCAGGTTTCCGAAGCCAATAAAAAAAGGGTGTTGCCCACAATTGTTGAAACCCTCCAAAGCAGAATACGATCTGTTCTTCTACTTCCCTCACTTTTCTACAACCCCCACCCCACCCCATGCTACAGACAGGGGCATAGAGAAGACAGGAAGTCTCTCGGGGAGTTGATAACTTGGTTGGGGAGATAGAGACTACACAAGTAAACGAAGAAGACAATTCTAGAAGTAACCTGACCAACTTGCCTCAGTTTGCTCGGCTACTCTAAGTGATGCTGCAGTAAACATAGGGGTGCATCTGTCTTTTCTAATTAGTGTTTTCATCTTCTTTGGGTGTATATTCAGTAATGGAATTACTGAATCCTATGGTATTTCCATTTTTGATTTTTTGGGGAGCCTCCATATTGTTTTCCACAGTGGCTGCCACAACAACGCAAGAGGGTTCCTTTTTCTCCACATCCTCACCAACACTTGTACCTTGTTGTCTTTTTTTTTTTTAGCCATGCTGGCAGGTGCAAGATGATATCTCACTGTGGTCTTGACTTACGTTTCTCTGATAATGAGTGATGTTGAGCATCTCATGTCTGTTGGCCATCTGGATATCTTCTTTGGGAAAATGATATTCAGGTTCTCTGTGCATTTTTTAATCAGGTCTTTTTTTTTGGTGTTGAGTTATATAAGAACTTTTTATATTTTGGATATTAACCCCTTATAAGATATATCCTTTGAAAATAACTTCTCCCAATCAGTAAGTTGCCTTTTTGTTTGTTGATGGTTTTTTTGTTTTGTTTTGTTTTGTTTTTTGCTGTGCAAAAGCTTTTTATTTTGGTGTAGTCCCAATAGTTTATTTTTGCTTTTGTTTCCCTTGCCTTAGGAGACAGATCTAGAAAGATATTGCAGTGTCTGATGTTAAAGAAATTACTGCCTATGCTTTCTTCTCAGAGTCTCATGGTTACATGTCTCACACTTAAATCCTTAATCCATTTTGAGTTTATCCATTTGAGTTTATTTTTGTGTATGGTGTAAGAAAGTGGTCCAGTTTCATTCTTCTGCATGTAGCTGTCCAGTTTTCCCAGCACCATTTATTAAAGGGACTTTTCTCCCCCAGAACTGTCCTGGTTTTAAAACAGAAAGTTCCTTGTCCCTGGAATCTCTTAGCCCCAAGCAAAGTGGGAATGGTTGGTCACTCTATTTAAAGGGTGACAGTGCTTTGGGGAACCCAATCTGGAACATGGTACAGGAAATGAGATTGGGGCAGAGGAAGGGGCCCTACTTTAGGTTGGGTAGTTATGGGTCTCTATTTTACAAACAGGGATCTGAGTCTCAGAGAAGTGAAATGAGTTCTCAAAGATCACACAGCTAGTAAGTGGTTTTCTGATTTCTAGTCCACCATTTCAGATGTCACGTTCTGCAGGTAACTGAGGGTGTATGGAAGACATAGGCCATGTCCTCCCCCTGAGTGGTCCCCTCTTTACCTGCTGCCTCTCTTAGGTGTGTTGGGCCTCCCTCTTTCCCTCCCCCGCTTCCCTACCACTTCTCATGCTCTGTGCTGGTGTCCAGTCATCTTGAGCGTTTACCCCGATTGACGCAGCCCTTCAGTCCTTCCCTGGCCCTTCCCCCACCTCATTTCACCTCTCTCTCTCAAACCACCTTTCATCTTTTTGGAACCTGAAGTATGTAGGCGTGAAATGAACCCCCGTGTTTTCTCAGTTGTGGTCATTCTTCGGCAGTCAATTGCCGAGTCCCTACTTTGACCCCCGGGATGGAGGTTCGATGACTGGTCTGTGGTGTTGCCTTGTGCCTCCTCAGGGATGTGTTTCTTGGCGACTCTTTCCAAAGGAGCCCCCCACTCCAGCCCTGCCAAGTCTCTGCCACAAAACTTGTTTGCTTTCTTCTCAGTTCTAACCACTGACATCCCCAAACTTTGTCCATGCTAGTCTCTCTGCATCACATCTGCTGTTATAATCCAGCTTGTCTTTTAAAGGCCAGTGTATGTAATATTACTTTTTCTATGAAGCTTTTCCTGACTTCTTTAGTCAGAAGGGCTCTTCCCTTCTTTGAACTCACACAGCACTCTGGATCCTCTTAGGCTGCTTAACCACATTCTACCTTATGCTTGAGTTATTTTTGATCTGTGTCTCATTCCTCCTAATAAACTGTGAGCTCATTCATTTATTCAACCAGTTTCTGATGATACTCTGTGCAGGGCATTGTTCCACCTAGCTAGGAAGAAGGATCACGTTGGGCATGTAATTATGTGTCTTACTAACTTGGGTCAAGGATAGTGCCTGACGTGTGGTGGGTATTTGTGAATGGGTAGACGAATGGATGGATGGATTGATGGATGCAGGTATAATTATAGAATGTGTAGGATGAGGGGCTAAACGATTGGGGTTTGGTTTGCTTCGGACATGGTGATAGTAAGAGGTGGCAAAGTGGAATAGAGTGGGTTATGAGCTCATTTGAAGTTTATGAAGCTTGTGAATTTTTTTTTTTTTTTTTTTTTTTGAGAGAAGGAGCGTGGTTGGGGGAGAGGCAGAGGGAGAGTGAGAGAGAGAATCTTAAGTAGGCTCCATGCCTAGCATGGAACCCATTGTGGGGCTCAGTCTCACAAATCTGAGATCATGACCTGAGCCGAAATCAAGAGTTAGATGCTTAACCAACAGCCACCCAGGTGCCCTGAAGCCCATGGAATTTTTTATACCACCCAGGCTTGCCACTTGGCCATCACCATGAGTGCAAGTGTAGGGAAGGGACTGTGGAGGGTCAGCACAATTGCCCACTTTACTATCCCAGGTCACTGCTGCTCAAAGAAATGTAACCCCGGTCACATTCTACCTTGACCATACTACTACTAAGGTAGTAGCACCATTGTGCTCTCCCAGCATCCATCCAAGGTCCCTTCCCTCTAGCCATGACCATACTACTACTGAAGGTAGTAGCACCATGGTGCTCTCCTGACATCCATCCAAGGCTCCTCCCCATTCTCTATATCAGGTATTTTTTCCCAGCACCCACTAGACTGACATGGCTTAGATACAGTTTCATTCCTCTGAATTTTTGGTGTTAGCCCATGTTCTGGAAAGACTTTGAATAGGTAGCCCCAGGCAAGAGGGTATGATGAGAGAGACCCCGAATAAATCCTTTTCTTCAGGCTTCTCCATCAGTGAAGGGTGACCTTCTCCTAACTTTGCTCCTCGGTGTCAGTGTCCAGTGCCCAGAGAATCAGCCAGGAGAGAAAGGGTTAAGTGGGGCCTGCTGTCGGGTCTGGGTCCTGAGACTGCATTCCTTCCTCCTAGAGATCTGCCAGGCTGTGGGGCCAGAGGCTAAATTTAGAAGGGAGCTAAGATTTCCTGTTAACAGCTGTCCTGCCCCTCAGAGAAGAAGCACCGGAGAGAGAAGAGAGGTTGGTCCCTCTTGGTGGTCAGAACTACTGGCCATTTTGTCTGGGTCCCTCAGCCCTGGGTGACTGGCTGTGGAGATACGGGCAAACCTGTGGTGAGTGTGCTTTTCCCTTCGTTTTGTCCTGTGAGCCCAAGGCTTCCAAGCAGAGGGGCAGCAGTTCTGCTGCGAGGGTGAGGGCCCAGCCATGTGGGGGAGCAGCTCCTGAGGGATTTCGTGTTCCTTAATAGGCTGTGGGATGGCTCCTGAGCTAAAGGCAACGACTCCAATGGCCTTGGTTAGAGACACTGAGGAAGGCCAGTGGCACCTCCCCCAGGATAAGCGAAGGTGTATACAAGCGCACAGGCGGGTGTGTGCTTATACACGCGTACCCACGTGTGAATGTGTGGGCACACCCAGGAGTTTCGATAGAAAGAACTTTCTGGTCTAGGGAATTTACCGCTTTCCAACTGTGTTAGCTATATGAAAGCAAACCCAGGACCCTGTTCCCCTCACTGCTTCCTGGCTGGAATCTGAGGAAGGAGACACTTTGTTCTTTCTTAAATACTGTGACTCAGCTGGATGTGTGTGGGTCTTGGTGTCCAGGTTGACGGTAGCTAGGCCAAGTCAGACGGGTTTTCCCCGTGTGGGTCCTGTCCCCACCAGAGTAGTAGCACATGGTGACCTTCCCCCTGATATCACTGATATACCCCTCCCCCCCCCCCCACAAAACCTCCAGAAGCCAATTCCCTAATCACATTGGTCATGCTGAACTTACAGAGACCGGCAGGCTGTCATGGCGACCAGTCGGGACCCAGAGGAGGAACAGGTAGTCCCAAGCGAAGAGGATGAAGCCGATGTGCGGGCCGTGCAGGCCCAGTACCTCCGGAGCCCCTCCCCCAGCCAGTAAGTGTGCACCTGTGTGCTGCTACCCTGCAGCCCCAGCAGGAGTGGGGCTGGGGGGCCTGAGAAGATGTGGGCCCCGGGGAAGCCTACAGCCACCACTTTAAGTTCACTCATTTAACAAATATCATGGAGTACTTTCTATGTGTCATACTTTCTGGAAGAGGCGAATAAGCAAATGGACTACCATTTTGACATGGCGTGGTAAGTGCTGGAATTAGTATGCCTCAGGGATAGTGCACAGTGGGCCAGGGAAAGGAACACTTGGATTTGGATGGGTCTTAGGAGGCTTCCTGGAGGCGGTGATGCTGGACCTGAACCTCGAAGAAGGAGTAGGCACCTGACGGACCTACCTGGGCAGTGATGCATGACCCATGAGGACTGAGGCTGACTATGAGAATGTTAGACCACAGACGGTAAGACATCAGGACAGGAAGGGGTCATAAGACCAGCCCTAGTGCTGAGACGATCAAGCCATGTCTTTCAAACTGGGATATGTGCACTTCTGAGGGTAAGTGGCTAAGTGTGCAGAGGCAGATCAACACGGTGCATCTTCCGGGAGAGTGCTCTTGGTTTATGTCAAGTAGTTTAAAGTTTTCTTTTACATAAAATTATTGAGGATCTATCACGAGGTAGATAGGAAAATTTACATAAGCTTTTTAACAAAACCATGAGACATCACAGAAACGCTGTCTTGCCTGCTAAAGCAATCGTGTGTGTGTGTGCCTGTTCATTTTCTTCTGCCATAAATCATAGTAGAGGACCTGGCTTCTAATCTTAGTTCTGTCATCAAACTTACAGGAAGAAGTCCTTCCATTCTTGAGCCTGTGTCTCCTTATCTATTAAAAAAAAAAAGGAAGGAAATACCCAACTAAGATATCTCATGATAACTTTACCTCAAACTTCTGTGGTTCTGCTTGACTCCACTTCCCTGCAGTTCCGGGGCCTTGCCGGCTCCTGCTTCTCAGAGCTTGAAAACCTTCCCCATTGGAATGAGATTCATCATTTATGGGCCAGGACCCTTTGTCCAAATGTTGGGGACTTTTCCTTTAAAGTTCAGCGTTATGTTCCCACTTAGAAAGCCTATCAGGATGGAGTTTTGAAAGTAAATCCCCGTCTCTACACTATCAGACAAGGCAGGGATAATTTTGTGTGTGACTAAGGTAGGTGACGCATGGCTTTGGGTAGTGCTTAGGGTAATGCTAGCTGCTTTAGCAAATGGGTATTTTTTCTCACTCAAATAAATTCCAGAACAGGTCCCTGAGCAGTGATTCAGGAACTGAGGCTCCTTCTATCCTGTAGGTCTTCAATTTTTAAGGCAGAAAGCTAAAGTTACTGTGCTCATCAGCATCAAGACAAAATGGGAAGGGAATGAAAAATCTCTCAGGAGGTTTATATGGGCCAGGCCTGAAAATGGCCATTTCTTTTCCACTCATTTCCCATTGACTAGAACTTAGCAAAGCCACGCTTTGTTATAATGGAGGATGGGCAATGAGGTCCATGAGTCCAGGAAAAAGAGGAAGTGGGCTTGCTAATACATAGCCATCTTGGCCCAGTATACCTCTGTAGACTGAATATTCATGCTACCTTTTCCCCCGCTCATGAAACTCCCAAAGGAGACAATCCCAAAAACGGTTTACTGACTACTACATACAGTTCAAAAGCTAGGTTCTCTGCCTACATGTTAACTAACTGGAATTTAAATAAAACTTGGGGGAAAAAAGGCTGTGTTCTCTGGAGGGTATGCATCCTCTTGCCCAGGTCAGGCAGGAGCCCCTGGAAGTCTACAAAACAGCCTCCCATTGGATAAAAGGAGGAACGGGAGGTATAACAGTCATCAGTCCATTTAATTAATGAGCATCTGCCTGAGAAGAGGGCAGATCTCCCAGATTTGACCTTGATTTGGCCTTCAGGGTAGCATTGCCTTGTCTGTTGTTCTCTGTGGCCTCTAGCTCCACCCTCTGGCCCTTTTCCCTTGTCTGTTAGCCTCCAGAGCCACCTCCGAACTGAGATTGGAGAGTGTGTTTTCCTTGAAGGCCTTGTAGCTTTGGCAGGCTATGTCCTATTTATGGAAGTTTGGGCGCCCAAGGGCTGTTTAAGGCTGAAAGCAGACAAGGGCTTTTCAAGGCTCCTGGTTTCTTTGAAAATAGGATCCCTTTAAAAACATAAGTTTCTGATGGATATAGACCAGACAACCTCATGTGTCAGAAACCACACACCAAGTTCTTTCTTAAATATAATTTTCAATCTTGGTTTATTTCTTTGCCTCCTTATCTGCATACTTCACTGTCTAAGCTTCAGACTGTTATCTTCAGAAGGTATCTGAAGCTGTAAATGTGAGTGGGGAGTCCAGGACGCTTGTGGTCATTGGTAGTGTAATTGTTAAAAGTTTTACAACAGAATGTATACCTAACAAGCTAATGAGGGGAGAATGCAAAACTAAAATGTAATCAACCCAAAAGAAGGCAAGAAAGAAGAGAAAAAGAATACAGAGGAAGCATAGCAGATAACAGGAAAATAATAGGATGGTAGATTTAAACCCAAGTGTGGAAATATTTGAAACATAATAAAAATGAAATACTCCAACTAAAAGCAAATACTGTCAGACTCAGTTTTGTAAAAAGCCTACCTACCGCTTATGAGAAACACACCGTAAGAAACAGAGATACAAGGGACTCCCGGCTGGCTCAGTCACTGGAGCGGGCGACTCTTGATCTCAGGGTCATGAGTTCCAGTCCCACGTTGGTCATGGAGCCTACTTCAAATTAAAAAAAAAGAGAGAGAGAGAGAGATACAAAGGTTAACAAAGGCTAGAAAACATACTACACTGTCCAAGTTACAGTTGCTCATACCTTTAAAACTTAGCAGCATAAAACAACCACTTTTTAATGTTCACAGTCAGGTGCAGTGCTGGGACTCTCGTCTCTACTCCAAGATGTCTGGCGCCTCAGCTGGAAAGACATAGATTCCAGGAGGACTTGAGGCCAAGGGTGACTCACCCACTGAGGGCTGGTGGCAGAGTGGCTCCTTCACATGTATGACACTTCATTTTGAGCCCTTAGCCGGGCTGTTGGCTAGAGCACCTAACGTGTCTTTTCCTCTGGTCTCTCCATGTGGGCCATTTGGGCTTTCTCATAGCCTCTAGCTAAATTCCAAGGATTGGCATCCAGGAGGACAAGATAGACATGTGTTGATTTTCACAATCTAGCCTTAGAAGTCATAAAAAGGCCCATGGGGCTGAAAAGGAGGCAACATAAACTCTGCCGACACTGCAGGAGTATCTCTGTCACACTGTGAAGAGAGCAAGCGGGATGGGAAAGAGTGCCGCCATCTTTGGAAAACACCAACTGCCACAATCACAAACTGAAGCTATTTGCTGATATCAGACAAGGAAGAATTTAAGGACCGAGAAATATATTTCACAATGGTGAGAGATGTGGTTCACCAGAAACGTGTAATCATTTAAAATGTCTGTGATCTGGGGCGTCTGGGTGGCTCAGACAGTTAAGCCTCCAGCTCTTGATTTCAGCTCTGGTCGTGAGATCGAGCCCTCCTTTGGGCTTCACGCTCAGCAGGGAGTCTGCTTGAGATTCTCTCTCCCTCTGCCCCTACCCCGGCTCATGTTTGCCCTCTCTCTGGCTCTCTAAAATAATAAATCTTTTTAAAAGAAGTAAATAAAATTTATATGATCTAATAATGTAGCCTTAAAAAGTAGAAAGCAAAAAACTGACGGAACTAAAGAAAAAAAAATCCACAGTCTTAGTCAAACATAAAATTAAAAAAAAAACAAAAAACAAAAACCTCAGCAACTAATAGTATGAGGGGAAAAATCATTAATATAGGAAGGGGGCACCTGGGTGGCTCAGTCAGTTTAACATCTGACTCTTGATTTCAACTCATGTCATGATCATGATCTCAGGGTCATGAGATTGAGCCCTGTATGGGGCTCCCCTCTCAGTGGGGAGTTTGCTTCTCTCCTTCTGCCCCTCCCTCTACATGCACATGCTCGCTCTCTTTATTTCTAAAATGAGTAAATAAATCTTTAAAAAAAAGAATATAGGAAGTTAGAACAAAACATTAACAATATTAACCTAGTTGGCATTTATAGAACGTGTACCCAGCAAGGACAGGAAACAGATTCCCATCACATGCATGTGGAACATTTATCAAAATAGATCACGTGCTTGCCATTCATGTGTCAACAAATTTTTATATTTGATATATGCTTGAAGTCATATAAAATATGTTCTTTGACCTTGGGAGAATGAAGCTAGAAGTTAATAAAGCAAAAATATATGATCGTAATTCTAACTAAAACCACAATTCAATGCTGCTACATACTCACCAGACCATCTAAAATTAAAAACTGATGGTAGCAACTATAAATGAGGATGTTAAACAATCAGAACTCCATTCACAGCTGGGAAGAGTGTAAATTAGTACAACCACTTGGAAAACTCTCTCATAGTATCTACTAAAGTTCAAAGTACTCCTGTCCTGTAACCCAGCAGGCTCACTCCTAATACCTACTTAGCAGAAACAAGTACATGTGTACACCAGAAGAGAAGTCCTGTTTTGGTAGCTAACAGCCATTAAGGGTGTAGAATGTATAAACGTGTGATGAACTGTCCAGTTAACAGTAGGCTGGGTAAATGAAGTCTGCTCTGTATATTTTTAAATGCTGCCCTAAGGAATACACATTTTTTTTTTAATTTATTTGACAGAGAGAGATCACAGTAGACAGGCAGGCAGAGAGAGAGAGAGAGAGGGAAGCAGGCTCCCCGCTGAGCAGAGAGCCCGATGTGGGGCTCGATCCCAGGACCCCGAGATCATGACCTGAGCCGAAGGCAGCGGCTTAACCCACTGAGCCACCCAGGCGCCCCAGGAATACACATTTTTATTAAGTGCTTATCATGTAGGTGGGATTGAGCCTCTCAGATTATTGGCTGGGGAAGGCAAACCGTGAGCCCTGGTTGTGAAGGGGAAAACTGGGTCACTGCATG